CATAACTGTGGGTCGAACAGCAGGGCAGGTTCCGAAGAAAACTAGTTAAGAAATTGAGAAGCTAAACGAGTTAAATCATTTTTGAAGCAAACACAGCAGGATAAACTTAAAGTATACGGACTTTGATGCGATGAGCCGGACATTGAGAGCAACAGACAGAGTTTTATGTCACGGGGGGAGTGCCGAGCTCGCTCGAGGTGATAGATGCTTGCGCTATGCGTAACGTGAAAGCTGACTACAGTTGGAAAAAAGAGCGCACAAATCACTTAATTTGGCTTAAAATACAGACATTCTGACAATTAAGTAACTGTTTGTCGGTCTTTTCCGCTCAGATTCAGCTATCGGAGCACGAAGCTAATGTTTACTTACAAYGCTAATGCTCTCTTACTCTCTGGCGTTCAAGAGGTAGAGKAKCCAAATGGCTGGCTCACTGCTGCAAACTAGTGGTCAGAGACTGAACTACAACATAAAAATGAACGGCTGGCAGGAAAGTTGACATTTTAAACCTTAATAAAAAAACCGATACAGAGCTTTAGAATATCCATACAGTATCAGGAAATGAAATATCGCGATATTTCACTCTATCGATATTTTCTTACACCCCTAGTATATATAACRTCAAGTTTCTCTGCACAGCAGAGATTTTTTACTTAAGTGGAGCAATTCCAGTTAAGATTGCAAACTGAGATACTTGACTGATGCTGTTTAGCAAAGTCAAACAAATAAATCCAAGTCAAAAAGAAGGTCGTTGGGTTTTGATATTCAACAAACGCCCTCATCCGCAGAAGTAGTTTTGGCATGCTTTTTGGGGGGCTGCAGTGTCAGCTGTTGCAATGAATTATTGACCAAGATCAAAGCGGCAGCCGGACTGAAAGTTTACCCAGGAGCTCCTCACTTTCTCCTGCCCTGCCGTGTGCCTTCTCGACGCGAGGGGCATGCATTATTCAGAGACTGTTTCAGGTAATAAAACCAGAGTCAAGGAGAGATCCCAGCGCCCGTGTGTCTCTCTATCCTTTTAGCTTTGCCTTTTAAAGTGACACATTTGTTTTCAGAAACAGCTCGTCATCATTTATGGTGTGCGGTCAAACAGACACATTTGTCAGAGCATGTTGCACAGGCAAAGAAGTGACTTAAGCTGCGTTAAGTCACCTAATATCTCTCACAATACAGGTCCTTCTCAAAAAATTAGCACATTGTGATCAAGTTCATTATTTTCTGTAATGTACTGATAAACATTAAACTTTAATATATTTTAGATTCATTGCACACCAACTGAAGTAGTTCAAGCCTTTTATTGTTTTAATATTGATGATTTTGTCAAAAACGCTAAGAAAAAAATAAAATCCCTATCTCAAAAAATTAGCACATTTCATCCGAACAATAAAAGAAAAGTGTTTTTAATACAAAAAAAGCCAACCTTCAAAATAATTATGTTCAGTTATGCTTTCAATACTTGGTTGGGAATCCTTTTGCAGAAATGACTGCTTCAATGTGGCGTGGCATGGAGG